CCCCCCCCCCCCCCCCCCGGGATGGACTACAATCTCATGTTTAGTTTACTAATTTGATACACAAATAAGATACACTGAAGGGAATGTATCAAAACTGGAGCAGACAAAAACTGGAGCAGCTGTGCCTGGCAACCAATCAGCTTTTCTCTTTCATTTTCAAATCCTAACTGAACAAACTGAAGAGAGAAGCTGATTGGTTGGCGTGCACAGCTACTCCGGTTTTTGTCTGCACCAGTTTTGATAAATTCCTCCCATTGCTGTTAATAGTTAAGTGACTTAAATGGTTATTAAGGTTTACCTCCGGAGTTTAGTGTCACTTGAAGTTCTACTGGAGCGGTTTGGGAGGCTGCTTCCGATAGGTGCCAGCACGTTATACCGGCAGCAGTTTTTTTTCCAATGACGAGGACCCTTTAAATAGCAACTGAGAATCATCTGCATACCGCAGAGTATCTGGGTATTATTATCATCATGTGACCCCTTAATATATATAACGTTAAACTAATTGCACGGGCTCCAATATGGACCTAAAGTAGTATTAAAATCCCTTTTGTTTTTGCATCTATATAAGTCTAGCGAGCATTAGATATATGCAAAAACATACAAAAAACATAACAAAAGTTACCGAATAGGTTATGACTTACCTGTGTCTCCGCCGCTCACTCCCATCCGAAGATCTGAAGATTCTCGAGCGGCCGTGAAGGATGATGGGGCGGGCGCGTGCGCAGTAGAGATCTTCGACGGGGAGAAGAGGAGAGACACAGGGTAAGTCAATGCAGGCAGCTGGTAGTGTGCACGCGTACAGACACCGTGGGACACAGCAGTGTAAACAGGAGCAGGCTGGCCCCCACATCTCCTCCTCTGTCTTTCTGGCACCCTGCTGCCTGCCTCTGGACACCTGGTATGACACCGCACAGCACTCCTGAAAGTCTGAGACCCCACACAGCCACCTGAGAGCCAGAACAGCCCACCTGAGACCCTGAAAACATCATGGTGCCACCCGGGAACAACACAGAGTATACAGCTTCATATTATTTTGTATTGCTATATAATGTATTGCTGGGATTTTTAGTCCTCTATAGACCGTCTGCTTGGCTGCCTCTCCTCGCTCTCACCTCTATATTCTCTCCTCCAAAAAAATTGCAGCGCTAAAGTGTTTCGGGTTTCACTTGAAGAAAAGGTGGCAACCCTACTCAGAGGTCCGCACCTCCATCGCATCAATATACCTGGGAGCTTGCCGGATCTCGCCAGGCAATTCCGGCTTTCCACCTATAGTACCAGCTCATTTTTTTTTTTCTGTCACTGACTCTCACTGACTGTGTCTGTGGTCCCCTAAAATGGGGAAAGCTGGAAAGGAGCCTCGAGCACTCTGGACTCAAGTGACCCCCTTCCCCTCCCTAAGCTCAAGCACAGCCACTTCCAAAAGTTCCCAGATACAGTATTATGTCTTTATGTGTCTACATTTGCATAAGAGGTGGAGACCACCACTGCACAGAACAGTGTGGCTCCTCCCAGTCCCACCCAGTGTTATCCCTTGATTGACAGCTGCATTTACTGGCCCATAAAAGAACAGTAGAGGGCGGATTGGGGAGGGATAGAACCGCCGTATTACACGCCCAGTTCCTGGCCAAGTGATCCCTACAGACTTATTGTATCAATTCCTTGGCACCCCTTCATCCACCCTCCCCCCCCAACACTGAGGGGACATCATTGAACAGACTTGGCAAGACGGGACAAAGAGAACGTAACATACGGATAAAGCAATATAACCCAAATTTGCAGCTTTTCATGAACAATCAACTTACAATCTCTGAACATTTTCGGTAAAATAAATGATAATATTCAGTTCAGCTTTAAACACTTCTTGTGGTGAAGAGACTTTGTCTCAGAACGTCTGAAGCTTCTCTCTACGTTATAATTTTCAGACGGCAACCTTTGCGATCCAAATCTTCCGACACGTAAAACGCGGCATGGAGGGGCTCAGTGAATTTGGCGGTGAAGGTGTACAGGTGTTTGATCCGCTCGCCCAGCTCGTAGAAGGCCAGCTGCCCGTCTTCAAACTCCAGATGTACCCGTAATGTGATGCTGGAGGGCTGTGAGGACAACGTGAGGCTTTTCTTCTCATGCCACACTGAGTACACGTTATTACTCCTGCGGAGACACCAAGATTCTTTATTATATCCTAAAAATGAGGTGTCACCTCTCCTGAGCATGCTGGCATAGGCCACCCCTATTCTCCAGTCTCCAGTCCTACTGCTCTCCACGTCCCAGAAATATCGGCCCAGCGAAAACCCTCTGACACTGAAAACCTGGTTATACTGAAACCTCTGCGGCGTTGCCGGCCGGTTCATTGGCCTCATTGTCCAGTATATGCTCTTCATATCCTCGGAGATACTCATTTGATTACCAGCCGTGCTCTCATCCAGTAGCAGGTCTGAAGCCGCCTGAGAATTGGCCGGGGTCAACCGACCGACCTCCTTCACACTAACGCTGGTCTCTGGTCCTGCCATCGTATCAGGTACCCCAGTGCGCAATGTTCCTGTGCAAGATATGGCATTGGACAACCCTTTCCTAATGGTCAGTGAGATCAGGTCTTCATCCAGATCACCGACGTCACCGCTCTCTCTTTCATTGTCTTCTTCCTCCCTGGAGTTACAAAAGTCAGCGGTGTCCTTTTCCTGTAGGACGGTCACAGGGTCCGCCATGTTGCACATCTCCTCGATGTAGAAGATCTTGGCGCACAGCTCGTTCTTCTTTACGTCCAGCTTTTCGATCACATTAGAGATGAAGTGTGAGATCTTCTCCTCCTGCCGGGAGATCTCGCCCATGACCCTCTTCTCCAGATCTTGGAGCTGCCTCCTGATTTCCCTGAACAGAGCGTTCACCCTGACCATCAAACCCGCGGCCCTCTGTCGCACCTTTGTCCCATGCTCTTGGAGTTTGTGGACCCTCTTCTCAGTCTCCACCCTCTGAGAGGTCAGCCTCTCCTGAACTTGCCTCAGGTTGTCCAGCTTCTTCTCCGAGGCTTCCGCCAGTGACTGCACTCTGTGTCCTATGTGCTCTCCATCCAGCCTGCAGGTCACACAGACGCAGGAAGAGTCCTCAATGCAGTAAAACTCCAGGATCTTATTGTGGAAGGAGCATTTACTGTTCCTCAGGCACCTGTTGGGTTCCGTCAATACATGCTCTGAGGACTTGATGTGGACGCTCAGGTGATTGTCGCACAGCGAGGCTTCGCAAAGTAGGCAGGACCTGACAGCTGGGACCAGGGAGTGAATGCAGTAGGTGCAGAAGATGCCGCTTTCCTTCTGAGTGGCTTGGGAACGCACTCGGTCGGCTATGTTCCGAAGATCGAGGTTTGGATGCAGAGCCGGGCGTTCCAGGAAATCTTTTCTGCACCGAGGACACCTGTAGACCCCGGCTACCGTCTGTTCATCCAAAGCTTTCTCGATACACTCCCGGCAGTAGCTGTGCCCACATCTCAGGTTCACCGGATCGGTGTAGATGTTCAGGCAGATGGAGCAGTTCAAGTCATCGCTGGGATCAGCCAACGCCATTGTTATGGGAAAACTGAAAGTGAAACGGAGAACGTCGGAGCCCCACAATGGGAGTTCCCGGCTCAGATTTCAGCACCTTGTCTGTCAGCCAAAGTCTATAATTGTCTACAGACGACTGCGGACGGCGAGGGACCTGAAATACGGATATTGTTCTGGTCTCCGGAGAACGGGGGAACGTTCGTAATTAGATGTTATTATAGATCTCAGATTTCCATTTTTACCTTCTACCTCCATCAGACTCCCTCCATTGTGTGTCAGACGTGTTTCTGTATATACCAGATCCTTCCTTTCTATATCCAGTTTATGTCCTTTTCATTGTTTTTCTACATTGAAAGTGTATCTAATCCCAAAAACAAAATGTCATTTGTTGCAGCTTCCGAATCTATAGATGCCTCTGCACCCCTCTCCCCCCCATACCTTCCAGTCCTTAGATGTGTCTGCACCCCCCCATACCTTCCAGTCCTTAGATGAGTCTGCACCCCTCTCCCCCCATACCTTCCAGTCCATAGATGTGTCTGCACCCCCCCATACCTTCCAGTCCTTAGATG